TTTTTTTTTTTTTTTTTTTTTTTTTTTTTTTTTTTTTTTTTTTTTTTTTTTTTTTTTTTTTTTTTTTTTTTTTTTTTTTTTTTTTTTTGTTTTCTTGGGATGGCTTGTTTCTCAGCTCAAAGCCTCCTTGAAAAGAAACCCTGTCAAGGATTTTAGTCAGTGCCAGCACATCCAACAGAGCTCATCCCTGTCCCACACAAAGGGCTCCTACATGGAGGAAAGGTAAGGGAGAGGAAATGCCCCACAGCATTGATTTTTTTCTATTTCCAAGGGGCCTGATTTCCAGGAGGTGCTGAATTTTTGACCAGTAGGACTTTTGGAGCCATTTCTATTTACCTGCAAGCCCACATTACTATGGCATCTACACAATCTTCAGTCACAAATGAGCCAGCCTTGTTTTTATCACACCTCTGAAAGTGGTCAATAGCCCAGAACAGCAAAGTAGCTTCAATGCAACCATTTCTGTGGTCACAGAACACAGGCCAAGTCTCTCAGGCAGATCCCACTCTTATCTCATAAAACAAAAACTCTTTCACTCACCATGTTGCTCTCGGATATACTGGAAATACTTGCAATGTCCAGACTCATCGCAATTTGAACAGGTTTTCCTGAGGAGGGAAAGAAATTCCTCAGCAGAGAGAAAGGAAGAGTGAAGGGCACAGTGAAGCCACTCAGGATGTCGTGCAGGGTGGGCACTGCCCCCGGCCTCAAACCACAGAGGTCCAAAAGGCTCTGACACAGTTTCAGAGCATCAGGCTCACGAATAACATGATCCAAAATACAGCTGTCACCATTAGGGAGCTGGAGTTCTGTTCTGGTGCTGGTAGCAGAGGGCAAATACCCACCAGCACCACCTGCGAAGCTGAGCAGGTTTGGATCAGCAGCGTTTCAGTGCCATTTGTGGGTGTTTGGGCAGCCAGGACCACTCTGTCCCTTGATTCCCAGCCCGCATTTCTCCCAGGGTATTTCTCCCAGCTCTCCCCACGCCCGGGCAGCGATGGGAGGCACAGAAATGATTCCCGAAAACAGGCGCTGCCCACAACCCACAACCTCTCTTGTTAGTTACAACAAGAGCCTTTGCCTCTTATTAGTTACCACCCGCCTGTTGTATCTGCAAAACCAAGTTTCAGCACTCCCGGTCCTGGATCTCGGAGGTGACACCGACTGCTGAGATCCACCGCGAGAGGGCGGCTCCGCCCGGGAATCCCAGGGAACGGCCCGGGAATAGCCGGGAACGGCTGGGAATCCCGGGAACCGCCGGGAACAGCCCGGGGACAGCCGGGAACCGCCGGGAACCACCCGGGAATAGCCGGGAACCACCCGGGAACCGCAAGGATTCCCCGGGAAAGGGGGGATTCTCCGCCCAGGAACAGCCAGGAACCGCCAAAAATCGCCGGGAACAGGCGGAGCCAGCAGCGGCCCCGCAGAGGGAAATGCTGCAGCAGCGCAGAGACACGAACTGTCCCTTAGGCTGTGCCTCGGTTTGTCTGATCCCAGGAGGGATCGGGGGCTCCGAGCAGGCAGGGCTTTCCAAGACGTGCCTCTCTGCCTAAGTGGCAACACAGCAACGCCTTTTCCTCATGGGATTGCTAGAACTCCCAATTTAATCATCTAAATGACACTTAGGAACGTCCAAGGGTCACAATTTCTAAATCGCTTTCCAGGTGGTTTTGGCTTTGTTTGTTTGTTTGTTTGTTTTAAGCTGTTCCAAAATACATTTCATTTGCAAAGGATGTATTTTTTTTTAAGTAGGTGTTATTCATGTCCTCTGTCATGCCCAGTCCAGTTCCTGACCATGGGTAAGATCTGTGAGGACTCAGATCTCTGGAGGAGGTGACAGCAGAGCCCTGACCATTTTTTTAAAACATCTGCCATAGATGCAGCTGATCTCCATTACATCGTGGAGAAGCATCTGTTCACTGGTGTGACAGGAGTTGAAGGAGCTTTACCAGTCAGTCCAGGCATAACAAGATGGTAAACTCTGTATTGTCCCAGAAATTTATTACCATGGTCAGAAAATGGAAGGAGCTCAGTAGCAGCAGGTCTGTCTACGAGGGGAAACATCCAAGACCTTGTAAAAGCTGATGGGAAATTTTTCTGTCAAGCAGAGTTGCATTAATAGGTTCTGGCAGAAAACCAAAATTAATAGAAATAAAAAATGGTCATAGCTGTTTTTTAAACTTTCACTGATATTTTTCAGGGGCTGAATGTCAGTCAGAGAAACCTTTTACTCTGTGTGATTACAGCAGTCACCTGGCAGGTGGGAGACCTGACACCAAAATTGGTCAGTAGCCTCAGGTAAGTTCCTAAATGCCTGCTCCCGACTCCCCAGAGACTCCCCAGGGTTTAAAGCACATTTGTGTCTCAGTGGGAAGTAAACTCAATATTCCTGGCAGGAAGAGTGCCTTTGTTCCTCTATAGCTGCAATCTACTAAATAGCTGTACATGACCAGCTGTAAAGCAGAAAATCAAAGGCTCAGGCTCTAAACAAAAGCTTGCACAGTTAGAGCAGAATTTAGTTACTTGGTCAGGTCTTTCCTAGAGACGTTGCAGTTTATAAATTCCCTGCTCTCAGCCTCACAGATGGACATGTTCTCAAGCCACAGACATTCCTGCACCAGCTGTTCAAGACAACAGTGGATGCACAGGAAAGAAGGGCAGCCCTAATTTGAAAGAAACACAACCTTTCAAACTGCAGCATCCTAAAGCAAGCTCAAAGCATCATCCCCTGCACACGAGCCTTGCAGGCTGTTCTTGAAACCCTCCCGTGCGTGGAGCCAACCTACCACCAAAGTAGGGCCGCAGGTATTTGTTGTATCCCATGGTGAGGTTCTCAAATCCAGGCAGGGATGTTGTGTCGCTGCTGTATGAGCTGGATCTGTGGCCCAGGGAGCACCTCCTGGAAACACAGATATGAACTGTGAGGCGTGGGCCGGGCACATCTGGTGTGCAGCTGCAGCTGCGTTTCCAGCTTGTGCTCGGACAAGCAAACAAACTGCATAACATAGTTACTAAAAACAAGTAGATAATTGAAATTACAAGCACCTGCTCACATTGTTACCTGGGCTGAGTAATTAGCACCTTGAAGAGGTGGGGAAATGGCCAACTGCCTCAGCTTATAGCTGCAGGTTCTACACACAGTACCTTAAGGCCCTTCCCAAAATATCACAGAGATATCAAGCAAAGTCTGTAGATAACAAGTCTTAACAATAATCCCCAACTTCCTCTTCCCACTCCTTCTTGTACATTCTATATAAGGAACATGCATTTCTTTTTTCCTTCTGCTTAGGACAACCTGATACAAATCTTACTGCCCAACAGCAGTAAGATATATACACAAAGAGCTAAAGAAATTTGGGACTGGTAGGTCCAAGGATGGTAATAACAGAGTTGGGAGACCTGGGGTGGGGGGTGGGGGGCATTTCCTGCAAAAACCCTCGCTGTGCGCTGGTTCTGAACAGCAAATCAGGCGTTGCACCAGTAATGGACATATTGCGGTTTAGGGACCTGTGCAGGTTGCTCTCTTCTGTGCCACATCCCTTCCTGCATCCTTTGGATGGGCTGGATAACTGGATGCATAGTTTCCTTTTGGCCCACATTATTTATGTGTAACAGAACTCAAATGT